CGCACCTGACCTTCTTCGGTTCCTCACCTGTCTCATCAACAACGCTCTGTTATCTGGCTGTTTTCCCATTTCTCTGAAGGAGGCAAGAGTCAACCCCCTCCTGAAGAAACCTACCCTCAACCCTTCTGAAGAAAACAACTACAGACCGGTCTCTCTTCTTCCCTTTTGTCCAAAACCCTTGAACGTGCTATCTTTAATCAACTCTCCTCTTATCTCCACTGTAACAACCTCCTTGACCTCCACCAGTCAGGTTTCAAGGCAGGCCACGCCACAGAGACTGCTCTCCTTGCTGTCTCAGAGCAACTCCACACTGCTAGAGCCGCCTCTCTCTCCTCTGTCCTCATCCTTCTGGACCTCTCTGCTGCATTTGACACGGTCAACCACCAGATCCTTATTTCCTCCCTTCAGGAACTTGGTGTCACAGGCTCTGCTCTCTCCCTTCTCTCGTCCTACCTCGACGGCCGCACCTACCGGGTAACCTGGCGAGGATCTGTGTCGGAACCTTGTCCTCTTACTACTGGAGTTCCTCAGGGTTCCATGCTGGGTCCCCTCCTGTTCTCGCTTTACACCAACTCTCTTGGCGCTGTCATTCGCTCGCATGGCTTTTCTTACCACAGCTATGCCGATGACACCCAACTAATTCTCTCCTTCCCTCACTCGGACACCCAGGTGGCGGCTCGGATCTCTGCCTGTCTAACTGACATCTCTCAGTGGATATCCGCCCACCATCTGAAAATCAACCCCGACAAGACTGAACTACTTCTCTTCCCCGGAAAAGATTTGCTTACCCAGGACCTGACAGTCAACTTTGGAAACTCCGTGCTAACGCCCACTTTGACCGCTAAGAACCTCGGCGTCACACTCGACAGCCAACTCTTCCTGACTCCCAACATCACCGCGACAACGCGATCCTGTAGATACACGCTCTACAACATCAGGGAAAACGTCCCCTTCTCACTCAGAAGGCAGCGCAGGTACTGATTCAGGCTCTTGTCATCTCCCGCCTGGACTACTGCAACTCCCTCCTGGCTGGTCTCCCTGCGACCGCCATTCGACCTCTGCAGCTCATTCAGAATGCAGCAACTCGACTGGTCTTCAACCTTCCAAAATTCTCCCACACTACTCCACTCCTCCGCTCTCTTCACTGGCTACCGGTGGCTGCCCGCATCCAGTTCAAAACATTGGTGCTCACGTACCATGCTGTGAATGGATCGGGTCCAGCTTACATCCAGGACATGGTCAAACCCTGCATCCCAACCCGCTCTCCGCTCTGCATCTGCAAAACTACTCGTCCCTCCCTCACTGAGAGCAAAACACTCGACTAGATCACAACTCTTTGCTGTCCTTGCGCCGAAATGGTGAAACGCGCTCTCTGAAGACACGTCTCTGAAGGACCGCAGAGAGCCTTCACATCTTCCGCCGCAAACTAAAGACACACCTCTTCAGACTCTACCTCGACTAAAGACTAACAAATTGTAGCACTTAAATTGTACTTGTAACGTCACTCATCTATAGCAAATTGTAAATTGGCTTATTTGAGGAAATTGCACTTTCTTGTTTCTTGTTCTCCTGAGTTTGTACCCTATGGGTAAATACACTTATTGTACGTTGCTTTGGATAAAAGCGTCCGCTAAATGACATGTAATGTAATAATGAGTGTCCTTGGGTAATATTTAGAGGTTGCTACATAAACCAGAAGACATATTTGACAGGTTGGACGGAAGCGTTGCCAAACAGCTGCTAGGCACAATAGAGAAGCAAACCTTTTAATTCAAAAAGACCCTATGAAAAAACGGAAGAGGGTAGGAGTTACCCGGCCCGGAGGAAGCCCGGGGCCCCCATTTGGAGCCAGGCCCAGATGGAGGGCCCGACAGCGAGCGTCTGGTGGCCGGGTTTACCACGGAGCCCAGCCGGGCACAGCCCGAAGGAGTGACGCGGCAGCCCAAGACTCTACTCCCCATGGGCTCACCACCTGTGGAGGAAACCGATGGGGTCGGGTGCGCTGCTACAAGGGTGGCAGTGACAGTGGGGGGGTCTAGACGGAACAGACCGGCGGCAGATGCTGGCTCTGGGGACGTGGAACGTAACCTCTCTGGGGGGGAAGGAGCCGGAGCTTGTGCGGGAGGTGGAGCGTTATCAGTTGGATCTGGTGGGGCTTACCTCTACGCACAGCCTCGGCTCTGGAACCACACTCCTGGATAGGAGGTGGACTCTATTCTACTCCGGAGTGGCCCATGGTGTGAGGCGCCAGGCGGGTGTGGGGATACTCATAAGTCCCCGGTTGAGTGCTGCTACATTGGAGTTTACCCCGGTGGACAAAAGGGTCGCCTCCCTATTCCTTCGGGTGGTCGGGGGGAAAACTCTGTGCATATGCATATGCATATGCACCAAACAGCAGCTCAGAGTATTCTGCCTTTTTGGAGACCCTGAATGGAGTCCTGCATGGGGCTCCAGTAGGGGACTCCATAGTCCTACTGGGAGACTTCAATGTGGGCGACGATGGAGATAACTGGAGAGGCGTGATTGGGAGGAATGGCCTCCCTGATGTGAACCCGAGCGGGCGTTTGTTACTGGACTTCTGTGCCAGTCACGGATTGTCCATAACAAACACCATGTTCGAGCATAAGGATGTTCATAAGTGTACGTGGTACCAGAGCACCCTAGGCCAAAGATCAATGATAGATTTTGATCGTCTGATCTGAGGCCGCATATTCTGGACACTCGGGTAAAGAGAGGGGCAGAGCTGTCAACTGATCACCATCTGGTTGTGAGCTGGGTCAGAGGATGGGGGAAGACTCAGCACAGACCCGGTAAACCCAAGCGTGTAGTGAGGGTGAACTGGGAACGTCTGGATAAGGGGGCCCCGGTCCAAAAGATTTTCAACTCAGACCTCCGGCGGAGCTTCTCTCACATTCCTGTGGAGGTAGTGGACATTGAACCAGAGTGGTGTATGTTCGAAACCTCCACCGCTGAACCCCGTGGTGGACACCGGTGGTCAGGGAAGCCGTCCGACTGAAGAAGGAGGCCTTCCGGGTTATTACATCCAGTGGGACTCCGGAGGCAGTTGCAGTGTACCGACAGGCTCGAAGGGCAGCAGCCTCTGCCGTGATGGAGGCAAAGCAGCGAGTATGGGAGGAGTTCGGGGTAACTATGGAGAAGGACTTTCGGTCAGCACCAAAGTGCTTCTGGAAGACCATCCGGGACCTCAGGAGGGGGAAACGGGGAACCATCCAAGCTGTGTATAGTAAGGATGGGACCCTGTTGACCGCGACTGAGGAGGTTATCGGGCGGTGGAAGACTTTGAGGAACTCCTGAACCCAACTACTACGCCCTCTTTGGTAGAGGCGGAGGAGGGATCATCGTCATCGCTGCGGGAGGAAGGGCGTGAGGGGGTCCTTGCTTGGGGCCATCCAATCCTTGTACGCCCAAAGCGAGAGCTGTGTTCGGGTGCTCGGCAGTAAGTGGAAGAAGTTTCCGGTGGGGGTTGGCCTTCCCCAGGCTGCGCTTTCTCACCAATCTTGTTTGTGGTTTTCATGGACAGGATATCGAGGCGTAGTCGGGGGGAGGAGGGTCTACAGTTTGGGGGGCTGCGGATCTCATTGCTGCTTTTTGCAGATGATGTGGTCCTGATGGCATCTTCCGTCTGTGACCTCCAACTCTCACTGGAGAATCGGAGCAGCGGGGGCGGTATTGCACTCGCTGTACCGCACCGTTGTGACGAAAAGAGAGCTGAGCCGGAAGGCAAAGCTCTCGACCTACCCGTCAATCTTCGTTCCTACTCTCACCTATGGTCATGAAGGATGGGTCATGACCGAAAGAACTAGGTCACGGGTACAAGCGGCCGAAATGGGTTTCCTCAGAGTGGCTGGCGTCTCCCTTAGGGATAGGGTGAGAAGCTCAGCCATTTACGAGGAGCTCGGAGTAGAGCCGCTGCTCCTTTGCGTCGAAAGGAGCCAGTTGAGGTGGTTTGGGCATCTAGTGATGATGCCCCCTGGGCGTCTCCCTAGGGAGGTGTTCCAGGCACAGCCAGCTGGGAAGAGGCCCCTGGGAAGACCCAGGACTTGGTGGAGAGATTATATCTCTGCACTGGCCTGGGAACGCCTTGGGATCCCCCAGTCAGAGCTGGTAGATGTGGCCCGGGAAAGGAAAGTTTGGGGTCCCCTGCTGGAGCTGTTGCCCCCGCGACCCGACCCCGGATAAGCGGTTGAAAATGGATGGATGGATGGACCTTTTAATAGGATCCGTTTCTTACTTTGTTCAGCACCCTTTCTGACAACTGCCGTTTGGGATTAAACACGTATTAGCCAGGGGCACACAGCACAATAAGAGTCCTGGGTTGAAATGGAGGTCTAGGGAACAGAATGATGAATGGTTTGTCATTTGCATGTTAGTACTTTTTTTTTTTCTCACACCTGTGCAAAAGTATACATTTGACCAGCTATTTCAAAAGAAATGATAGTGCTTTCCTCAAGCTTTAAGCTCAAACGCCAAAGGGCCAGCTCCCGCATGTACAAAAGCCCCCACAAACGCTCACTCGCTTGTATTCTTGTATGCGTCTACCTCCACGCCTGTTCCTTCTTTCCGCTCTGTAATTGTTGCACGTGCTGACCATGGAAGCCTCACACAGAGAGGCAGTAAGCTTGCAACAAGTGGATAAATCCACATTTTCATGACGCAAGTCAAAGCAGCAGCATCCTAGAATGATATTTGTGGTTGTAAATCTGGATCAAGATGTATTAAGGAGAGGGAACAGCCTTCCATAAAAGGAGCATGAAGTAAACATTGCGGAAATCTGGAAATGAAGGCCCGCTATTTAAGGTGAAAGATTAACAGCTGATCCAAATGAAGCCATAAAGATTGGTTCTATAAAAGCACAGAATGTCATTTCTCTATCCAAGGACAAGACACACAGCAGTGATCTGTGTAACAACATTACCGGACCACCTCATACAGCTTTTTTGACCCTTTCAAGTTCATGTCGTATAAATTGGTTCTCATAGTCTCTCCAGGTCATCATCCGCCACAAACCTCAAGGAAGCAGCAACGCCGTCCCATCCGGAGTGAAGATAAGTTATCTTGTGCAACGGAATGAGAACACACGGAGGATGTGAACCACTGAGAGCCTTGCTGTCTCTTATGAGCTTCCTATCTTTGTCAGCAGCACATGTATGTACGCTATATGTTGCGTACATTAGCGTTTGTCCCCTGCTTGCTTGCTTGCATGCTTGAGTTGCTGTTGATCCTTGACGTGTTGTCTCTTCTAGATTACAGGTATTTGTACAACCACTGCCCGGGTCCGGAGTGGAACATTATCTGTAGAGGCTGCTGCGAGTATGATGTGATTCGCTGTAAATGCCCCCTACAGGGGACGCCGGTGGGCTACGCAGTGCCCTGCTGTCGCAACGCCATCACTGAGTGCGACCCCTGCATCATACATCCAGGTAGGGTGCATATTTGACTTTAATTTCATGACATGTTGCAAGCTTGTTTACCTTGAACATAAGCAAAAGTGGGTCTTCTCCTCATGAAGTCTATAGCTGCGGATTTCATCTTTAAGGAATAGACTCAATATTAAGGAATATGTATGCGCAATGAGATTTCCAAAACCTGTTCGTAAAAATGTATACGAAAATCTTGAACATACAAATTCGTAACAATACATACGGCTGTGGTATACAGCTGGCGGTGGTTAACCACGCCCCTTGAGTGAACAACATGGTGGATCATGTTGGATTCTTGAGTGAACGTCTCTCCGCCATGTTGGATTTTTGAGGGGGTTAGGGTTAGTATTGTATTCTTACAATTTAACATTGATTTCTCGTCAAAAATGCAATCATAACACGTTTATTTTACATCGTTAGACTTCACAAAGTCACAAAGTGTGTTTACGGGGTGCAGGTCCCCATTCACTTTGAATAGGGTGACGTCATCAGTTGCAGTCCGTATTTATTTAGTATGTATCACTACAAATATGTATGTTCAAGATTTTCGTATAGATTTTTACGAACAGGTTTTGGAGATCAGGCTGGTATGCGATGTAAAATGGGAAAGAACAAGTCATGTCTGACAACTGCACAGCTCTTTGCACCATAGCAACACAAACAGTATAACAGAAAGCCCGAAAATACTTGTGTCACATCTAATTTGTGTGGATCATCATACTTTGAAAGGCGATTGGGGAATTAAATGAGTGTAGTAATGTGTGTGTTTGGACTCATTGTATGTAAGTACGTTATACAGGTGCAATGTATATAATGTGAGAAGTTGAAGATGTTGGCACAGATGTTGGTATTGATGTTCACTGATATGATTACAAAGCATCATGGGTAAAAGATCATGTGTTCTCCGTCAGCTCTGTTGTGACAACTTGGTTGATTCAGGGGCCAAATGTTGCATTTGGCCTGATTAGTGTTGGGATTGGATGTTACCACTGCAGAGTTAGATTAAAAAAGAGAGAATAGAGTGGACATGTTCACAATGGCAATGCCAACATGATGTTTTAAAAGTAGGATGTTTAACATGTTCATGAACACAGTGTTAGGATGTTAATATTAACACTTAATAGCTGAGGCTGATGAGTATCCACAATAAACCAAAACACACTGGACACTGCCAAATTCAAACTGGGTACCACAGCATATACAAAATGTCATGGCAATCTGAAAGTATGTACCAAAGTAGTTGTTAATAATATTATCATTGAAACTGAAGAATATTGCAAACTTTTTGACATTTGGCATTAAAGCATTGCTTTTAGGGATCTTCAGCAGCCATCTGTAAAAGTTATTAATGGCGGACCTGCTGTTGTTGAATATCCGCTTCTGAAAGATGTATGTGGTGGACGGAGAGCAAAGTCCGCAGCAGCATCTAAAGCTTTGTAGCACATGTCTTACCAACTTTAATATATAGATTACTGACATTGATATGCCATTTATTTTGTCCTTTGTGACATGAGCAGAACCCCTCGTTGCAATAGCTGCTGTGCTCAGCGATAGACTCATGGAAACCTCTGTGTTTGTGCGCGAGTGATTAGGGAATTAGGGTTTGTATTATTTAACTACGGGGGCTCAAAGGAAACATATCCGAATTACAACTGGTATTGTTGTTGGGAGCTGCTGGAGGCTAACGTTCAGTATTACTTCATATTTGATTATTCAAAGCTTTGTGACTCTCTGATAAAGGGTAATATTAGGAGAGTATTTTGGAACGTGCCACTGCATTGTATAAAGTTCATCAGTCATTTATGTCTGTTCTAATATTAGGCAAGTTTAAACAGCGCATGAATTTAGAGTGTATGTACATATCTTCTGACAGCTATTATACTCACGTTAATTCATATTTATTAGGGCTCTAAACGTGGACCTTCTGGATGTCATGGCTGTATTAAAGCACACAAATAATCTTCTTGAAACATTGACACAATACCTACATTATATATATATATATATATATATATATATATATATATATATATATATATATATATATATATACGTCTAGATCTGTTTCCTTTCATATCTATTGCTGCAACAACTTGACTCCCTCTTATATTTATTACATATAAATCCAAATAAAAAAACAAAAAACAACTACAATGGTGTGTAAACTTTGACTGCTGTGGTATCTGGTTAAAATGTGTCCTATTTCACGCGTCATTAATAACAGTAATCTACGCAGTAGTGGAGCAAATCCCCTTTAATGCTTCCTCATTAGCGGTTTTCTGGCTGAAGATTTGAAAGCGTTGTTCCGTGAAGACACGGAACACAGGTGCTCTTATTATCCGGGGTTACACATGAATAGTAGGAACACAACAGAAACTTTCACGTCAAAAGATTCAATCAGATTGCTTTTTTATAAAAAATATTTCATAAAAAGTATTTAGAATATGTGGTTTATTTGTGTGATGCTTTGTGTGTTCTTATGTGCTCCTCCTTCATCCGAACAGGTTCATGATGATGAGTCTGGAGTTTCACCCATCTTGTCGTTACGACTTCGTGGAGGTCCGAGATGGTAACAGCATTGACTCGCGTGTTATTGCGTGCTTTTGTAGGAACAGCAGACCGGCGCCGGTTCACAGCTCTGGTCCCAGTCTTCACATACTCTTTGTGTCTGATGGTTATAAAAATTTTGACAGATTCTTTGCTACTTTCCAGGAGAGCTCAGGTAGGTTGAATACCAACGTCATTTAACAACAATAACAAAAATACTGTCAGCCTTTGCTTCATAAACAATCAGTAAAAAGTCAGGCCAAATGAGCAAGGGGGCTCTTTTGACGAACGGGTCCCAAACCCAAATGCAAACAAGAAGTTTCCAAGTGCGTGACTTAAACCTACACGTTCTGGGCGAAAGCCTTCATCGAGGTCTTCGTCGCATGCTAACGACCCTCTGAGAAAGCATGCGCTCACCGAAATGTCATTACTTTCCACAAACGTCGTCAGTCTGAAGGTCTTTGACACGCATGGACTCATAAGTTACCATCGGCTAAGCCAGACCAAACCGTTTTCTTTTGCCGCATATTTTTATTTATCATTGTACTGCAAATTAATTCAACGTTTCTCCTTTTACCCTAATGTGGCACGCTTGCATATTTACAGCTTGCAGCTCTTCTCCTTGCCTAAAGCTCTTACACTTAACGCTGTACCTGTCTGGCTGGCTACACAGGCAAGAGGTGTGAAAACTGTGAGTTTTGTAACACAACTGAAGCCTTTACAGTAATAATGAAGAAATATTTGATGTTTTGTGTAAAACTTTGGATGCCTGCAAGCTCTAATCACAGGGAGGAATAGTTGCCATGACTCCAGAGGAATGTGAAATCGATGTGTCTCCCGTATTGGCACTTTCAAGACCTTGAAGTCCCATTTTGTAATTTCATCTGAAATCAGACACACAATAAACTCCTGGAAAACTTTTTTTTTTTTAGCTGTTGTTGCTGCTCAGAGGCCGGTGGTGATTCACTGTCACAAGGGAAAGGTCTGTGGTTGCTTCCCTTCGTCGGGGCCGGTCCCAGCTGGAGCTTTGGTCCGTCAGCAGCTGGGACTGTGTTTGCATTTCAGCTAACTAATGTGGGAAGTCATACCTCCATCGACAGAGAGATACAAACAAAGAAACTGAGCAAAATTGAAGGGTAAAATAAGAGAAGAGAAAAAAAGCATGTTGCTATTTTCGTTCCGGTCATCAATCATTTTGTTTTTCTGCACCTTATAACACCTTTTTACATTTGCAACACACCAGCAGAGTCGCTCGGCTGTGTCTTGTGGGGTTCTGCATAATCAGGGTGTGGTTGGCTTACAAGGTCTTTGATTTATGGGTGTGTGGAGCCGAACTCGTGTTTTTATAAACAGTACACCTCTCATAGGAGCCCACAAAAACAGACCTCTCCTCGTGGTGTCATTTTCAGGGCTTAATACAGGTCTATAAAACAAATGGCGAAACAATCCTGCTCCTATAACAACAAGCCAGCTTTTTCCATCGGACGAGACATCCATAAAAGAAAGCACGAGTTTCATTCCCATGCGGAATCCTCAGCTGTTCGTTTTAATGGATGAGAGTGATTTCGATGTCTGACAGTTTTTACGGGACATTCGGGGTATTCTACATTTCTGCTCACATGGGGAATTTGCATGTCCGGGACATCATCAGTATGTTATGCTTCCAATGATTGAACTGTCAGCCTCAGATAAAACTCATCGTGCATGAGAGAGTCCTGACACATCATTGCAGAAACTCAACATAAGAAATCCTTTCTTCTCTTTAATCTATGTATCTGTAATCTAATCTGCTTTGGAGTGCAGTGTTGAACATAATTTCCATGGCATTAACAAAAGGGAATGATGATTTACTTACAGTGTGAGTCTTCAGTCTCAATGACTCAGCACAATGACCCTTATTATGTCTGTGGAAAAAAGCTGACAAGGAAGATGGACCATTAATGTACAATACAAGGATGCCCGTAGCTCCCCAGAATGCTTCAGGGCTTTGAAAATAAAACAAGGGTCAAACAACATTTGAACATTTGGTTTGCAAAGTCGTAAATAAGTGAAAACCGCTGTGCTGGACGAGTGCCAGGGCCTCCGTCCTGAGCCATAAAACCAGGAGCAGAGCATCTCGTGGATCGGGCCCACCATGAAATAAACAACACAGAAAATCTCTTGAGTGTTCATTTCGGAACAGAGAGCTGAATAACCTCAGTGTTGATATGCGTGTTGGGCTTTGTGTGAACTCGGTAGCGGGTTGATTAGTGATGTCTACTACAAAATGTGTGTGCATCAGACAGTTACACCCAGTATTCCGTCACCAAATTAACAATCTCCACCACTCTACTGCGTAAATCTACTTTTACAACCCTGGACAGTTTGACAAAAGCCATTTTATTGCATCTTTTCTTTCCTCGTTTACAAGCCCTGTGTATAGGTCTTGCTATAAACTTTACCACGGTGGGTGAAATGACTCATTAATGAGCATCTAAAGTAGCGGGGTCTGTTTTTAAAGCTCTGGGCATTTGTTAGTTACGAGTCTGAGAGCTGAGGTTTGGGTTTGTGAGCTACCTGTCTGGCCTGTAAACACCTGAAGGGAACTAACTCAATGTAGGTGTAATTTCTTTAAAGTCTTTTATAGGATGTATTGAGGAATGATTACAATGCTGGCTAAATACCCTATTTTGTTAATTTGCAAGATCTGTCTCTCAGTTACAAAATGAAAACAACATTTGTAAACAAACCAAATGCGCTGTGTTCGCCCCAATGGTGGGATGCCGCAGGCCTCCGGTGCCCACCCGCGGATCAACAGAGGGTCTCCACTCGGGGGCCCGCGTCACTTTCTGTTGTGACCCCGGCCTTTGCTACCAGCCCTATGAACTGACTCCCAGAGAGCATGCCTCCCCAACAACACCTGGAGCGGCACTCCTCCGCTTTGCACCAAAGGTCAGACAACGTCTCTTTTATAACAGGGATTAGAATGGCTGAGTCAGTATTGTAAAGTGCTTGTGTCATTATCTTTTTTTAAGGTCGTCAGAAAATGAGTCGGTACCGAGATTTGAAATTAACAGCTGGCTGACAATAAAGTTTAAATCTAAGTTAAACAATAGTTTTTTTTGTTGTGTTTTGTGTCCACAGTAAATAATACTCTCACTGAAGAAGACAAGGACAGAGACAGGGCAAAAAACACAGGAAGGTGCAACGGAACAGATGGTGAAAAACCTTTCAGCAAAACGAAAGAGAAAGGTCACAAAAACATAACGGGTGAAAACGACAGTGTTGGAGGGGGAGAAATAAGCACTGAGCACGACAATAAAACTGCAGTCGACAGCAGGGATAAAGTGGACAGTGAAGGGACAAACAACAGCCTGAATACTGTCAAAATGAAAGAACCCGGCACCGGAAAGCCACCTGAGAAAAACAAGGGAAGCCCAGACACAAATTTCGAGACAGAAAAGACAGACATCACAGAAATAGTTGTGATAAAAGACAAAGGACAGGTAGAGAAGGAAAGGAAAGAGGAGCAGGTGAATGGAAAAAGAGGTTCAAACAAGGTCGGTCTGAACGACTCCAAGGTGGGAACGAACATCATAGCTGAGGGGGACGACGCAGCCAAGGGGGTTGAATTGGAAATGACAAAGAACCACACTGTCATACGCGACACGAAGGACACACAGAAGGAAAATAATACCAAAGGTTCAGCAGAGCCGGGGAAGAAAATCCTTCCCACTGGAGTTGACATCACACAGTACAGAGCGGGAAGCGAGGAAAATGGCAAAGCAAAGGACAAAAAGGATCCTGCTGAGAAAAGCAGGCACGAGGTGGAGGGGGTCAGCGGGAACAAAGAAAAGGAAAACAAAGTCAATCAAAGCTTCACTGGTGAGAAGATTTTTTTTTTTTAAATGAACATCATCTGCTCCTTGTTGGTCTTCACCCTCACCGACTGTCTGTCTAGATTCTCCTTCTATGCCACTACTTTGCATTTTTGCCCACAATCCTAAAGAAGGTATAAGCGCAAAAAAAATAAAAGCCGTCAGAAGGGAAAGACAAATCAAACAGTGTCTCAGTGTGGATCAGACTTCTTCCTGTACTTCTCTTCGGGCCCCCTTCTCTTCATTGTGGTCATTCTCTGCTCTCCCTTCCTGTCAACTCCTCTTTGGCAGTGTGTGGGAAGCATCCGACCTTCGACCCAGAGAGGCCGGCAGAGGCTCACTGGCCTTGGCTGGCTGCCATTTACCGCCGCTTCACCAACAGAGCCGGGACCAAGGTGACCAAGGCAGACGGCCAGGCAGGGTCCCCGAAGGTGGACTTCGAAGCAGGAACTGGCAGCTACGATGGGGCTGCTAAATGGCAGCTAGTGTGCAGCGGGGCTCTGGTGAACCAAAAGAGGGTGCTGGTTGCAGCCCATTGTGTCATAGAGCTGGGAAAGGTGTATCCTCTGGATGCAGCCGAGCTTAAGGTGGTGGTAGGGAAGCACTCCTGGGATGACCGCAGGGAAGACAAAGGTCCTCAACACCTGAGGGTAAGCTCCTGAACCCAATTCGCACAATGTCTCCATCCCCTTTCTCCTTCAGGTGGCCTCCGTCGTTGTTCACCCCAACTACGATCCCCACGTCCTCGACTCTGACATAGCTGTGGTCAAGCTGCTAGACAAAGCAAAGGTCAGCGAGAAGGTCCTGCCCCTCTGCCTCTCAGACCTCTCAGCCAGGGAGGGCGAAGGTCGGGCTCGTTCACCTTGCCGACGTGGTTCCCTACGAGCGGCAGTACGCCCGTAACGGCATGCCAGTCAGCGTGCTCTGTGCCAGCCACAAGCCTCTAACATATGTCCCTCTGACACGGGGGGGATCCTCGTCCTCCCCGCCCTCCCTGAGAACCGAGCCAGCAACAAGCAAAAGCCCTCTGTCGGCTCTAGGCAGGTGCAGGGGCAGAAGCGGAGGGCTGTGGAGGCTCATGGGAATGGTGAGCTTTGGCTATGACCAAGGGGAGTGTGATCCCGACCTCTACACAGTATACACGCGTGTGGCCAACTTCAAAGACTGGATAGAGAGCAACATTACATTAGATTACATTACATTTAGCAGACGCTTTTTATCCAAAGCGACTTACATTACACTTTAAACCCATGGCTTTTTTTCACATTTTTGCCCGGGGAGCAATTAGGGGTTAGGTGTCTTGCTCAGGGACACTTCGACATGGAGCTTCCCAGCACACCTTCTCTAACCCCTGCGCCACGACGACCCCAACATGAAATAAAGATGACCCTATCTGCTTCTTACATATTTAAAAGACTTCATATCCTACAGCGCTCGCTTTTTTTCTTCCTCGTTTGCCTGTTTTTCTCAGTTTTTTTCGTCCTCCCCAACCTTCTTGCACTAAAGCGTTTCCCCATTCGACGCAGAAGCACTGCAACACTGGAGAATACAGTGCTCTAACTGAAGGGGGTGCTGACGCATCAGATGTGCTGAGCATCAACATCTCACTACAAAACTTCAGTGTTCGGGTCCCTCGGCCTTTTTCCGACTTGAACGTGACCGCCTGAATTTGTGCACTCATGTACTCGATGGAATGTATATATTGCCTAAAATTCATATGACTGATGAGATGTACATATTGTATCTAAAGACAGAAAAATCATGAGGTTTTTGGATTAAATATAATGTAGGTAAAGCTGCTCGGTGTGATCAGTTTTTTTATTGTGTTAAACTCAGTATGTGTGCATGTAAAAATATATTCTACCCATTACAATCAGTCCATCAATATGATGTGAAAAATAAACCGTAAGTTTGCTCCATGTAGAGGCAAACTAACCCAGGTCAGAGAAGGACTTTTTCGTAACCAAAAAAGGAGCATGTTATTCACAGATCAATTCCCCTTTCTGTGCTCAAATTAAATAAATTACTTTCATTCTGACCCTTCTCTATTAATCAGATGTGATTCTGCATTGATAGCCGAGCTGCAGCTGAAATCAACTTCCAAAAGGTGGCAATGAAAAATGTATATTCTTTATCTCCGAAAGCATTAATGTACAACCCAGCACTGTAACAAATTTACGGTGCATTTCTAATGGTATCTTACTGTATGTCATAATAACAGTAACATACAGTTAAATTTCCATCCCTTGCTTGTAAATTAACGACCAATGTCATGAATAAACAGTTAAAGCTGTTAATTTACAATAATAGCGGACTACCGTAATTCAACTGCGTGTTACATATATTTTATGAAGTGGTGGAAATACACATACAAGTGCAGTAAATCACAATCCATCTACATCTGTTGTAGGTTAATGTATGGAAGCCCACGTCAGCCACTGAATTACAGGTCCTGTAAATCATCATAATGAGATAGTATCTCATGAGATATGATGATGACTTTGACTTACCGGATATTACTATACATGCAGATGTCACTTTTATCCAAAACGCCCATGGTTTGACATAATTTTATGTGGAGTAATTGGAGGTTAGGTGTCTTGCTCAGGGACACTTCGACTTGTCACAGGGAGCAGCCAGGATTCAAACCGCCGACCTTACGCTGCACAGCACAAACCTCCCTATTCCACGCGCCGCCTTCGCTGTCGTTTCAGTGGCCGGAATGTAAAGATTATAAATATTTGTATTATTTAAAGTGTTCATTGCCTAAAAGTCATTTGAGTGTTAATCGTGACCGACTGCTCCTGAACGTGAGGTCAGGAGCCAGACGCGTAATCTCAGTTCATCCAGAACACCTGTGCAATTCAACATCGGAGGAGTTTCTCATTGCCTCGTCTCTCCAAGTAACATTGGTAAGTTTTATTTGCCTAGCATGATTAACATTCTTCTTCCTTACATCTTGTCTTCCCCAACTTTGTAATTTTAATATTTTACCAATGACAGTGTTTCTAAATATTTAATTTTGGTTTGTTTTACAGAGGCACTGGATTAAGGACGCCAAGCGTTTGCTGCGGTCAATTGAAAGTGTTCCATAGCGTATTTCTGCAGTTAGTTTACCATGTTCCTAATGATTTTATGATTCATTTTTTTATTATTGTATACATGTGGCATATTTAATGTTTTGTTCTTGGTTACAAATACCTAACATTTTTGTCTTAAAGGCATCTAATAAACTCCAACCACTATGACCGAAATGAGTTTGGTTGTCTTTCTTAAATTTGTGGGGAATTAAATGCAAAAGCATACGGTTATAAGTAAACGGTAACATTCTGGTATTTATAACACAAAAACAGTAATCGTATGGTAACAAACTGTAATCCAATATACGACAACATACCATAAATTACGGTAGGGCACTGTAAATAAAACAGTAAATTACTAGCGTCGACTGCCAGTAAATTACAGTTAATTCACAGTAAAATTAGTTCAAGTTTACGGTAACATACAGTAAGAAATTTTACGGTAACATAGTGTGAAAAACATTTACGTATTATATCGTAAAATAACGGTAAATTCCTGGCGTCCAACAGCGTCCGTTTGTAGCCAGTAAAATACCGTTAATTTACCGTGACATTTTTTAGAGTGAGGTTCGTTTGTTCTTAAATTGAGGATATAAGTTATCAAACAGTTAAATGAAGCTGGAACTTAATTCAATGTTTATGCTTCTTTTTGAGTATCTGAAGTTAAAGCTTTGCAATATTACAAGCTGTACCAATGAAGCAAATCAAGCAATTATAGTTTAAGAAAATGGAATGAAATAAAACGTATTTCAATAAGAAAAGAGGAAACTCTTTTAAATCACTAGTAACTAACTGGAACTGTAAAATAAAATTGGGGCCAGTATTAAATATCTCAGATTTGGGAGCACCGTGGTTTAACAACGGTTCGTAACATGTCTGTGGCAAATCGGCTCACATCCACATCCAAGAAGTATGTGATGAACGTTTTTACCTGATCCACAACCGTAACGCTGCTGCCTGCTCTGCTGTTAACAAAGCCAGAACCACATCAAATGAGCACAATCATTTGAAGCATGTGACTGAAGTTTGAGGTTCTACATTGGAGCAGTGAAGATCGTGTCACAAGCGTTCAAAGCGTTGTCGCCTTTTTTCATGACATTCTTAAAATCACCATCAAACCGTCGGTCTCAATGAAGCCAGCGTGTTTGTGTTAAAATCTTTTTAAGTCACCACACCCACTGCACATACCAATGTCGGGCCTCCAGAATGAACGTTTATGCAAAAGGCTTCAACGCCACCTAAAGCTCTCAGTTAGTGACTCAAAAGAGCAAACCTCCCTCCCCCTGCAAGTCTATCTATAACGATCTTAAAACTGAAGGAACACAAGCCCAGATGGTCCATAACGTGGTAGTCAGACTCTTCAAAAGACGTGCCAAAAAAAGGATTGCACAACACCTGCCGTGGAAATATTTCCCGCTGATTAATGTTTGGATCAGTTAAATGTGGCTCTGCAGAACTTGGACTGTGCTCAGAATGTATAATAGAATTTTGTCAGAGCAATTTTTACTCCGTCTAATTTTCTTACCGGAGTTTATCTGTGTTGTCAAAGCCATAAATCTTTCTGGTTTTGTTCATTTTATCCATACTATGTCCAATTTACTTGACCCTTTAAAGTGTCAAACCTTTTAATTCCTTTCAAAAGAACTGCTTTTCCTGTGTGCCTTCATATACATAAAAAATATGCAATGGTCTCGATGTAAGACCATAATAGGCATACAGAACTGCTTGGGGGCCTTTGTTGCACTCGGCAGGAACAGCATCCATCAAAGACTTTCTGTCTTTGCTTCACCCGTTTTGCTGCAGTTGAACAACAGCTGAGTAGAGTCCCACGAGGAGAGTCCTTTCCACTTGGGCTGGGAGACTCTCTGTTCACAGGCCCTGCTTAGCTCACAGGGCATCATCCATAGAAACACGGGCCACACTTCACCAACTCAACTGACTGTCCTGGGAACGGAAATGTCACCCTGAGCAAAGTACCTAGATAATGATAAGAGAACGCCACCATGAGAACTCGAGGCGGACGGGGAAAAATATTCACACCAGACTTACACGAAAATGTTTAGGTTTTCAAACCAGTTTTTCTAGTTAGGCGAATGAGCCCTCTGCTTTGTTCTGTGTGTGAGAAACGTTCTGGCGCTGAGGATCCACACACAGCTCAGTTATCTGTATTCCGCTGGTGGTGGTGGTGCGAGGGTTGTGTGCTGAAACATTTAAGGATCTTCTATATTTCTTTTAAATAATTTTGTCATACCTCAAGATTAAAGTATATAACAATTGATCTCAAATGTTCAAGGCAGAATTGGGCCCTATAGTATTTTTCCAATGTTTGAGGAGTAAAAACTATGCACTTATTACACCATTATATTTAGGATTGATTGAGAATAAACTACAGTGTGCAAAAGCGTAATGTAATGAGGCAACTTGTCAGCCTCGGACACATTGTGGCTCAGTCTTCTAATGGAGTTTTAATGGAGGCCTATGGCACAGATGAATGTAATACCTCATATTAGTCTTTGGTATGGCTATAACTTGTTGGAGGGATTAATTAATCTGTTTTAATTTGTTAAGAAAATAAAGATTAATATGAACAATAACCTAAGAAGTAATGTGTTTACTGCCCTTTATCTCGTTTTTATTCCTACCCGTTTTTTACCCACGATGCCTGCGGCAGCTCATTCTCGTTCCAAAGAAACATTCCTGTTCCAGTCCCTTCAGCCCTTGAATACAACATACATGATCCTAAACATAGCACGGTGTTCCGCAGCCATTACCTGCCAGTCATGGCTTGACTATATAAAATGGAAGATAGCAATTCGTACACTTCACAGGCCTGAAAACGCACACATGTTTCTACGCACAAAGCAATTTTGCAGTATTGATGTGTTTTCATCCATATGCAGGCCTGTGAGTAAATTGCATAGCAAAAGGTGGCGATGTGATTTATTATACGTAGCTGTGACTGTTTGACTCCTCCAGCGGCTGCAGAAAGCCTGCTGGAATCCAGGCTGCCACCGCACTGAGCAACGATGTGAGTGAGACAAGGAGAGCGAACAGGAAAAGGTAAATGCGCATGTATCTAGATAGAGAGAGAATGAATCAGGATCAGGAATCAGGAATCAGGAAACATTTATTGCCAAAATATGTCAAACATACAAGGAATTTGTCTTGGCGGTTGGTGCATGACAGACAGTGTAACAATAGACAACAAGACAGCAGTGCACAAGTAATAAAATAAAGTAAAATGAAATGCTAATGCATTGGGTTAGTAAAATAAAGAATAAGGCTATGGGTAAGTATAAAACAAGGGAATAAAGTTAAATTAAAAAATGTAAAATATTAAAAAAGTTAAAAAATATTAAGCATAAAGTGCACTAGCGAACAAGTAACAAAGTGACGAGTGACGACAAAGTGATAATTTACAGTTAAAGTGACATGTGCAGTGTGAAGGGGAGTGACCGGTGGAATGTTATAGTCAGTCAGTGGGGGACCGGCCTCTGTTGATGAGCCCGACTGCCGACGGGAAGAAACTGTCCTGATGGTCCTCAGCCTCCTGCCAGATGGAAGGGGCACAAACAGGTTTTGTCCGGGGTGAGAAGGGTCGGCCACAATCTTTTTAGCTCGCTTCAGAGACCTGGAAGCGAACAAGTCCTGCAGGGACGGCAGATTGCAGCCGATCACCCTCTCTGCAGAGCGGATGACACGCTGCAGCCTGCCCTTGT